GTCTGTCTCTCTGTCCCTCTGTCCGTCTCTCTGTCTCTGTCTCTCACCCCCTGCCACCCTGTCTCCCCAGCTGGCTTTTGGGTGCTTCCTGACCCCAGCGCTCCAGTCCCGAGGCCGCGCGCCTCCGGAAGGACCCCTCGGCCGGGCGTCCGAGCCCTCGCTACGGGTTCTCAGCCGAGCCGGAGAGCAGCGCCAGCCGCGTGCAGCAGCCCAGCCCGAAGCGGCAGCGCTTCCTAAGGATCCCTCCCAGACGCTGTCCGCAGCCCGTCTTTGCAGAAGTTTGCAGCGCCTCCTCCTCTGCTCGTTTTTAGAGGGGGCAGCAGAGCCTACCAAGCCAGGCAACCAAAGCCCGCAGCTGCAGACCCAAGCGCTTCCCCACCCACCCTGCGCTGGGGTTTCACACATTCACTCTCCCTCTATGCATGCTTTTTGTTTGTTCACTGGTTTGGTTTGGTTTGGTTTGGTTTGCTTTGCTTTGCTTTGCTTTGCTTTGCTTTGCTTTGCTTTGCTTTGCTTTGCTTTGCTTTGGCTTTGGATTTTTCCATTTCTAAAATGAAGACAGTCATACTGGTTTGCTTGAAATTTCTCTGAATACTCAAAAAGACGATTTGATCCAGATTAGGTTTCTCTACTCAAAATGTGAGAGGGGCTGGGGATTTAGCTCAGCGGCAAAAGCGCCTGCCTGGCAAGCACAAGGTCATGAGTTCGGTTCCTGGTACCGGAGGAAAAAAAAAAAGTGACAGATATATTTAGCTGTTTAAAAAGGTAATCCATAGACAGGTTTGGTACCACATGCCATAATAGCAGCACTCTGGGAGGCTGAGGCAGAAGGATCAAAAGTTCCTTCATCCTGCCTGTGCAATTTAGAGAGTCACTGTCTCAAAATGTTAAAAAGGCTGGAAATGTAGCTCACTGCAGAAGCCCTTGGTTCAATCCCTGTAAAAAAAAAAAAAAAAAAAGGAAAAAATAAAGAGAATAAATAATCTCCAAAATATTAATCAACTGCTCCCTCAAGAGGGTTATATTTTCAATCCAGAGGAGCCTTCCCACACAACTGTCTCGCCTTCATTCATAAAGCACCTTTCCCCAGTGTAATCTGAAATTAATCTACAGTTAATGTAGAATTATACCCATGGGGCCATAGGAATTATTTTTAAAACAAAGCAATTTGGGCCCTTAAATTACTGAGATACGAGAGTAAAGAGAAATGGATATTCCAAAGATGTTCTACACAGTCCACATAAAATATGTCTGTGGACTTTTTTTTTACCTTGGGGAAATGTTCCTTGCTCACACAGGTTCTCTACAGCCGGTCCCAACTTGCTTTATAGTTGCATGGATGAAGAATGAACCGTGTCCTACAAATTATAACTTTCAAAAAGCAGTAGTGAGTTAAAACAGCCACAGAACAAATACTGAATGTAAGAAAGTAGATAAGTATTATCCTGTAGAGTAAATTGCTTTGGAAGTGTCAACTGATTTCTTAAAAAATGATTGCACAAAACCTTCTGCCTTCCTTAGAATTTCCTTTAAAGAATTGCCTTTAAAGCCCTGTATGAATATTGGTTTCACTCCCTTTCAGACATGGATGTGTTTTAGAAATCCACGTGGCTCCACACATGCCTGATTAGAAATCCCAGTAAGAGTAAATGACCCCTTTGATTAATATTTTTTAATAAAGTACAGAAATGGGTAAGAAACTGATTCACTGAAATTAAAGTCGCCTTATTGTGTGTCACACTGTTGAGGACAGTTTTGACACTTGGCTCATGACTTCTTTGTACATTAAGGTTTAATTAATGTTCTTTACTGTGTATAGTGTGTGGTACAGTAATGACGAACCACCCTGATTAATGTCCATAGCGTATCACAACACTGGGCAGAAGTTTGTAGACACAATGGTGAAGCGTTGACTAATCCAAATCGAGGTAGGATAGGATTATTGACATCTGATTTCTCTTGTGTCAAATCACTTAGTTCTTTGGGCAACCCCAAATCCAGCTGAATAATGCTGGCCATTCTTCAAGTAGAGAGCAGACTTAAACCCAAAAGGCTGAGCGCAGTGACAGACTCAAATGTACCCACAGGCTAGGCTGCAGGAGCCTCGGGAATGGCCGCAACTGTAACAGTTCAGTAATCACCAAAGCATGGGCTTCAGCTGAAGGCAGAATCTTTCTCAGATCCCACTGAGCTTCCCTGAAAAAAGCTAGGTAAGTTTTACAGGAGCTGTTTTTTTAAGAGAGGCAGAATTCATGTTCTTAACGTATTTTTTGAATTTTAAATCTTAAAAATTAAGCTCTTAAAAGTCAAAACTCACATGGGCAGGCCAAAATAAAGGATAGATAGGTAGGTAAACAGGCAATTAATTGATTGATAGGTGGATAGACAATAGGTAGATAGATGACAGATAAATCAGTTACCCTTCATCCATGGAGAATCTGCTGCAAGACCCACAGTGCATGCTGAGAAATAATGCTGAACCGTAAAATGTGCTGGTTTTCCCTGTGTCCAGTTACTTACCATAAAGTTTAATTTTAAAATAGGCACAGTGCAATTATTAACAATAGTAATAGTAAATAGGATATGTATGCTAATATAATAAAGGGTGAACGTGGTCTCTCTCTAGACACCATATTGTGCTGCACTCATCTTTCTCATGGCCAGATGCACTTCACAGCTTCTCTGTGCCTTTTCGGGACTGCCAGCGCCATTACTCTCGCACTTGGGGTCATTACTAATAAAGAGGGTTGCTTGGACGCAAACGCTGCAGTACCTCAACAGAGCAATAACCAAAATGGCTGCCAGCAGTTCAGGGGCCGGACACATCATGCGTACACCACGCAAAGGCATGAGCACACTGGACAGGACAGAGCAGGACAGCACAGGATTTTATCACATTCCCCAGAAAGGCACGCAATTTAAAGCTCGTGGACTGTTTATTTGTAGAATGTTCCATGTACTGGATAGATAACTGAAAGTAAATCCCTGGATAATGGGGAGAATACTGCAGGTAGACAGATAGATAGATAGATAGATGATAGATAGATAGATAGATAGATAGATAGATAGATAGATAGATGAGAGAGACAGACAGATAGATAGCCTGGTCCATGTGCCTCCAATACTGTAGCTTCTGATTTAGAAAATGTTTTGTAAATGTCCTGAAATATCTAACATATGGCTCAACTACCATTTCCCCTACTCCACTGGCCATTCCTCAATACGCAAAAACATAAAGGACTAGCATCAAAGGTTGCCAGATGTGCTAGTTTCCCGTCAGTGTGACATGCCTGAGATGATCAACTTACAAAGTGCAAAGGGTTATTTTGGCTCACAGTTTTAGGTATTTCGGTCCATAGTCAGATGGCCAGACTGTTATGAGGTCTCGCAGAGAGAAAACACATAATCACAGAATGCATGTGGAAGAGCAAAGCCTGTTTACCTCAGGCTGGTTTAGCTAAAGAGAAAGAGAGAGAGAGAGAGAGAGAGAGAGAGAGAGAGAGAGAGAGAGAGAGAGAGGTTGGAGTTCTCTTTCAAAAACACACCCACAGAAAGAAATTGCTCAAAGGAAGGAACAACTGGGATGAGGGAAAGGAGAAAAAGAAAGAAAGAAAAAAGGGGGAAAATATATATGGATAGCTGGGATAACCGTACTGCTGATCTCTAATGGTTTATTGAAGGGAAGAGTTGATGCCTAATTTTTCTTCTTTTTGACCAATTATGCACGTTTATGTCTGGCAGTCTGAACAACTACTTTGAAGAGAACAATATGCAATATAACAACCACTGGTGAATTCCTACCATCTGTCTAGTGAAACTCTGTATCGTTTCTAATGGGTTTTTTTTTGTTGTTTTTATTTTTTATTCTCTTTAACAGTTTGATCAATCTTCCATGCTTTTTTTTTTACTATTTTTTTATTTTAAAAATTAAAAAACTGACAAAACAACAATGAAGACAAAATCAAAACAAAACAAAAACAACAAAAATGATATATGACCTCAGGACAAAATGATAGAAATTTACAATGGTTGCTAAATTACATACTATTATCTTCAATGAAGTTGCACAGTCCATTAAACATAAGAATGCAAGATTGATCAAACAAAGATAGTAACAAGTAAAAAAAAATAAAAATTTTTTTTAAAAAAAACATTGGAAATGATGCAGAGCATCACCATACAAAATGGTAGGAGTTCAACAATGGTTCTTATACTGCATATTGTTTTCAGATCAGTAATTCTAATTACCAAATTCAAGTATGTGAAATTGGTCAAGAAAAAAGAAAATTATAAGCATTGACAGTTCCTCTCAATGAACTACAGACATCAGGAATACACCTATTCCAGCTATCCTTGTATATACATATAAATTTTGTTTTTCATTTTAAAAAAACCAACATAACAAAAACAAATACATAAACAAAACAGCATAGAGAGCAATAAAAATGATACAGAATTTCAAAACATGGTGATAGGATATTAACAATGGTTGTTATATTACATAATGTCATCTTCAAAATGGTTGCACATATAACCAGATATAGGCATGCAAGTTTGATCAAACAATTACATATTAACAGTTCCTTTCAATAAACCAACAGATAATCTTCCATTCTTACATCCATAATCTGAGTAACTTTGTTGAAAGAACAGTATATAATATAACAACTACTGTTAATTCCTATCAGTTTGTTCTGAAACCCTGTATCATTTTTATTGCTTTCGCTTTGTTTTGTTTTTGTCTATGTTGTTAATATTTTTCTATTGTTCTTTATTATTCTCTTTAAAATAAAAAAAAAAATTTTAAAAAAACACACAGTGACCAGACTTTTCTCTAGGCCACAGATTTTCAACTTTCTTCCATGTTTCAGCAATTCCAAGTTGGGGACTAAACCTTGAACACATAAGCCATTGGGGGGTACTTAAGATCCAAACCATAGCACCAGGTGGGTGATTTCCTTTCTGTTTCTGGCTGAGATGCTGAAACTACAGAAACAGATCTCCTGAGTAACTGAGTAATTCTGATATTTTAAGAAGCTAGAATGAACAAATTTCAGAGAAGCTCTTCACTAAAAGAGAAGTTCACTAACTTTAGTATACAGGTTCGAGTATGGTGAATGTTGATCAGGCAAAGTAAATCTTGCTGTGGGTTTTCTTCAGTCTAAATTTATTTTGAGAGCACAGGAGCTTGCCCAGGTGAATATAATTTCGTTGCTGTTTTGATTATAAAAGTAATGTATGACCATAATAAAAAGTTAGAGAAGACAAAAATGACAAGCTAAGTA